TTTCGGTAACATATTAAAGATGTAATTAATATTTTAAGTGTCGGTTGGAGCAGTGATATCACATTTCCTTGACTTGCATGATATGCAAGATTTGGATTATCTTTTAAACTGCCAAATTATGTTATAGCTATCAACCTTACATTATTCTACTACCTAACATTCCAATTACTAAAGAAAACATAAGTTGTTTTGCCACGACATTTCATTATTATTACATATTTTCAATCTTTTAAGAAATATATTCTACAAAAGCCTGAGACATATCAACTTCTCCAGGGTTGCATGAGATGCCAGATTAAGGTTGTCGGTGTTGTATTTGTTATGTTGTACAAATTTGATATAAAAATTGGTAAACCTCCAGATTTTCCAATATGATAAAGGTTTCCTATATTACGAATTTTTCAGTAAATATGGAACAGATAATTTAAAAAATTACTAGTACTAGCTATTATGAGAACTAGTCCAACCATCCAAAGTATAAAAAAACAAATTAATGTCAGAATTAATGGAACGATATATTAATGGAGTGGTGGACAGCTTGAGTAATTAGTGATACTCTCTATAATTCTTTTTCTAAACACACATATATTTTATATATTAATGGGGTGGTGGCATCTTCTACACGCAATTGGTAATGATTTAAGATTTGAAGGAGAAAACTTATTAGACGTTGAAAATGTGGAGAAGGCATTGCCCATTTGACCAACATATATACTCCATTAAGACAAAATTCAAACCCCATTCTCATCCGTTGAATACTATGAGAAAAAAGAATGATTTTAAGGTTGATGTCTGCAGCCACCGAACAATCAATACTTTAAAAAAATTGGTTGCTAAATTGTCAAAGATTTTGTGGGAGTGGTTGGATGGGGATCATTATGCGTATGATTACTACATTATTCTTTAATATTTTCACCATTAGAAGGTACTGATAACGTAAAAAAAAATTATATTACCAAGCCAATTAAAAGATAAATATATGTAATTATTAAAAATAAATGAAATTCGTAATATAAAAAAAAAAAAAAAAAAAAAAAAAAAAAAAAGATGATTTGCTATAACAAGTTAAAATATACTGATAATATAAAAAATTTGATACAGTATTAATATTTACAAGTAGAATTGTTCAACGAGAATTTTGGTAGGTATATTCATCAATTGCCACGCCTTTTGTTGGGTAAGATTTTGTGATATCATTTGTACCACCAGCTTTGAATTAAAATTTGTTGCCCTGTTACGACCTGATTAAAAGTCAAAGAACTTGCTATGTAAACATATTGCATTCATTGATTTTTAGAAAATTCTATATCTGGTGACTCATATATAAGTATTACAAAGGGAAAATAGAAGTTGCACTAAGAAGACTTTTAGGAGATTTCACATGTCAAATGACAAAAATATATGGGCGTAATACATACGGAGACACCTAAAGTTGGCACGATCTTTCACTTAGACACTTAAACTAGGCCTCTTTCCAATTAGACACGTTTCTTAGGCAATTCTCATACCAATTAGACACGTTTTTTGCTGGCTTATTAATTATTGTGTAGGGATTTGCTGCAGTTTTGAATGAAGTTTTACCCAATGCTGAATTTAGGATGTATGCCAGGCATATCTGGTCTAATTGGCATAAGAAATGGAAAGGAGAGGAAAGGAGAAAACAGTTTTGGAGGTGCTCTAAATCTAGTTATGAAGTTAAGTTTATTTGTAAGGATATTTGTAGGGATTTGGTATATTATCCAAAAAAGTCATGGGTTAGAGCCTAGTTTAAGTGTCTAATTGGTATGAGAATTGCCTAAGAAACGTGTCTAATTGGAAAGAGGCCTAGTTTAAGTGTCTAAGTGAAAGATCGTCAATTACGCCAAAATATATGCCTTGTAGACAGAGGCGGACCTATGTTATCAAGTGAGGGGTCACCGGCACCCGAAAAGTTTGGCAAAATTTTCATGAATACATGTATATGTTTTTTAAGGAATACTAATATATTAGTAGTGTTAGGCAACGTGTATTAAACCAAAATCAACATTGTTAATAAAAAACAAGAGGAAGAAGAAATAGAATAAATAATTCCGAGTCCACAATTTTGCTTGTGTGTCATTAAGGAATTTTAACCCCCTCATAGTTGTCAAGGTAATGGATTAAATCCTCCCAGGATAAAACGGAATAAACCTTCCTGCGATAGTGGCAATACTAGAAGCAGGATACCAACGAACTCAAAGAGCGGAGCGAATCACACTTACAATTTTCAAGGAACAAGAAAGCACAAGACTTTTTGGAATAATGAACTTGCAGAAAAAGGGAAAGTGATTTTGTAGTTTCTGAATTTCTGAGTTTTTAGAATGGAAGCCATGCCTGAATTTATACGCAATTGTTGGCTTTGTGAAAAGGTATGGTGTCTGTTCACTGTGAACAGACATCTGATAGGAAGACAACGTATTGTCTTTTAACGTTCTTTTAACGTTACTTATTAAACTGGGTCAACTAGTTTAACCAAATAAACCGGGTCAGTTTTTGAAGCCCAACCCAGTCCATTTAATTTCCCACCATTACCCAATTCACACTACTCATCTTTAAAGCCCAATGGCTTAAAAGTCCAACAAATAGTGGCACTCCATATACAAAGCAGATTTTAGTTGAAGCAAAAGCGCACCCTGACCTTCAAATCCTGGGTCCGCCTCTATTTGTCGACGAAGGAATTTGTTGAATGTGTTTGGTCTTTATCTTTTAATTTGCTTTTTTGCAAAAGTCATGGAAGTGATGGCTTTGTATTCCTTGTCATGATATAGCTTTTTCACTTTCTTTTTCCTTCTTTACTTTTTGAATAAATGGGAATGAACTCAAAACCCAATTGCACTTCAAGGATAAGTCAACTTCTTATGGTACATTAATTATGTAATTAATAAAGGACAAGGATTGGATGCTTCTTGGAAGGAGCAAATAGATGAAGGAAAATAGCTACCACGCCAAGAGAGTTGGACCACAGAAATGGAAGAGAATAGAGTAATTCTCTAGAAAAAATTTGTCAATGGAAAGTGTGTAGGAGGGTACTCGGCTAAGCTTATAAGTTGGTTAAATTAATATAAAAATATTTTTTTAGCATGTTTATGTGTTTAATACTTTTCCGTTAAGTTCCTGTAAGCCAAATTCCGTCAAATGTCATAAGCTGGTAACTACCTACTAATTACTTTTCAGCTTATAGCACTTTTCCTTTGATCAAATTTTGTACTATTTTATCCTCATTTTTTATTTTTTTTTGGGTTTGGTGTCCGGTACCCGCATTGGAGCCCGACTATATCTGGATTCGTGCCGCGTAGGGCCCCATTCGGGGGGGAAGTATTCCCTACCAAGGATTTTTTCTTACCCAGGGCTCGAACACGAGACCTCTGGTTAAGGGAAGAGCAACCTCATCCGCTCCGCTGCACCACATCCTTTGGTGGTTATCCTCAACCTTTATTCTTATTCTCAAAATACTTTTCTAATTATGACAGTTTTTGTTAGAGTTGCTAATTGGATCAATGATTAAAACATTTTTCTGTACTTATATATGACATCAAATAATTTGCCATTCAGTTTCGGATTTTCGTTTGGATAAGTCAGGTTGTAAGACATCTTATATAACGTTTAATACACTAAACCATCTTCTACTTAGTTCGATGATAAGAGTGCAGTGTGACATGTGTGAGTTAGACACACATCACGAATTTGAATTTTGCCACACAAAAAAAAAATCACTTGTTTTTACGTGTACAAAACTACAAATATGGAGGAACAAATACATTATTAGACGAGTGCCGAATTATACATTGCCTGACTTTTGCAATTTGCAGTTTTCTCAATTATAAGAAAAATAGCTAAATCAGTGAGAAGATTGGTTGCTATATTGTTGTTACAACAATTCATTTGGTTTTGAACAACATGAGTAAATTAAAGACACGTAATTGTGGCGAAAGCATGTCACCAGTCTGACACCATTTATTCATTTTCTAGCTTATTTTATAAAAAGATATCACTAGAATATGTACATGAATATCTATGAAAAGTATAGATCAACTAACCAAATAATTCGAGCGACGTTCCAAAACAACTCTGTTTAATTTTCAATTTCATCAATTCAGATCGTGTGTTGATCGTATTTGCACATATAATTTTTGCACTTAACCATGGATGATTAATTAATATATATTGTCATCTCATTAAATCACTTAACCCTAATAATTTGGAGGAAATCAGCTAAAAAGTACTTCTACAAAACGAATAGAAGTCCATGACTCCGAATTTTCTTTTTGATTTTTTTTTTTTAATATTTTCCTAGTTGTCATGAGTAAGAATATTTCAACTTGTCTTAGTTGGCAATGGGCAAGGACTAAATGGAAAATAAGAACAAATATAAACACTTAAAAAAAATCTCTTACACGGAAAAGGAAACGCCCTTTTGCCCTGAAGACCAATGCTCCTTCATCTTTTTTTTCCTTCTTACTCTGCAGATGTTAGATGTATCCTGCAATCAATTAACTGAGTCTTTTCCTTACTTTTCTTTTAAAACAAAGAACAAGAGTCTTTGTTTTAAAGGAAAAAAAACATCATCAACGTTTTGGTTTTATTTTGTTCTTTTTTAAGTTTTTTTTCTTTCTTTATTGCTTAAATCTGAGACACCAATTTCATGAATCACAAATCACAATTACAAGAGTGGTTGATAGAATATAACTTTAAAGAGTAACATCAAAGTTACAGAATCGCACTACCCGAAACTGAGAAGTACTCACTCCGTTCACTTTTACTTGGCATGTATACTAAAAATAAATTTTTATTTTTACTTGTCACTGACAAAAAAAATTTTCTTTTATACCCACAGTATTTATTATTCATTTTAAATCTTTTTCTCAAATTCAATAAAATATGCATCAATTAATATGGGTATCATGGTAAATTATGCACTTCATTTATTATTTCCTAAGGGGCGTGAAAAGTCAAGACATGCCAAGTAAAACTGAACGGAGGGAGTAAAAAAAACAAATCATACCACATTTATTTCAGTATAATATTGGTACAACATACTATTTAAAATCAAAAACTGAACCAAAACTGATTCGATGAACACTACTAAACTTGACATTACCAAGCCTGCTAGTTCTATGGGCGCTAATTGCACCAGAACCGTCCGTTTGGGCACAATGTTAACAACATCCAACCTGAGGGCTCTCCAAAGACCTTGAGGACGGATATGAAGACGACATGAAATCTCCAGCAGGGTGCAGATGAGAGAGCCTACGGACCATTTAGTGAAATCCTGATTGGTTTAGTTTCCTGAGGCTGGATCATTTTTGTATTGCTGTTCTACCATTGGAGGTAGGAGAAGAGCAAGCCTGGTTTTGTATCTTGCAATTCGACGAAGTCTTTCTTCCCTTAATCTGCAGATTTCCAAGCACAACCAATCATATAATCACCGATAAAGTCTACAACCAATTTCCAGCTAATCGCATTTAATCCATATACCCCTCCCCACCCCGGAGAGTTACATCCTTAATTTCGAAAAGCCAAAAGACCACAAATGTTTCTTACCGTGATCTAATCCTTTTAGCACGCTTGACATGTCTTTGCAAAAGTTCTTTTGGAGATAAATGCTCGACCGATCCCCCATCCTGCAGGTAGACAAAAGCAGAATCATTTGTTCCATTCTATACCGAAAGCCAATTGCCATCTCAACTACCAACCACATCAAACAACTAGGTCCAACTATGCAGGCTGCTATGCAATCAGTGACATGAAAATCCTTGCATATAATGAGCTGACTAGAAATGATAAAGCCATGAAATCCGAGCGTTTACAAATAAACAGAATGTTGGCCATAGCCTCTTGAGATCCAACATACTCCCCTGTTTCCTAAATGATTGAACTGCTCATATTTAAAGGATACGTCCAATGCCTTTGATGGAAAAAAAAAATTCTCTTATAGCGCGCACCACGAGTAATCCACCAGACAGCCTATCCAACTCAGACATGGCCTCACACCAAGTACTGCATTGGGAATACGTACCTAGGATCTCCAGGCTGTTACTCCCATGCCTCAAAACACTAGGCCATCCATTAGGGCATGCTTTTGATGAAAGTTAACATCCAATTGACTTGTCTTTCAAAAGGAACTCAGGAACTAAACATACCATATTTTCAAAACTTGGGCATTTCAGAAAATGGTACAAAATCCTGGAAGAGCACGATTGCATAGCACAAGTCATTGATCTTATCTAGACAGCAATTACTGCCTGGCAGATGTAATGCTCAGCAAAGAGTAAACATGGTCAGTCAGGGAGGTTTTGGCACATAAACATTAACTGGGATCCATCTTCATTTGCTACTAAAAATCAACAGCCCAGACACCTTAGAAACCAGTAATCTCAGCTACACCAATCATAAGTTTTCTAGTTGGTTTTTCTGTTTATTAAGTGGCTGGAAAACACATCTGTTTTTGCTTTCTTGCGTCACTAACCAACTATTAATATAAACAAAATTAGTGTCAAGAAGAGCCGTTACCACAAAACTAAGAAAATAGTAGAGAAAAGCAAAAAGTACCAAACAAGTGGAATACCAGATACAAGTGATTCAACAAAAGTTAAAATAAGACTACGACCTGACCTGAAATACGAAAATTGTAATAAATAAATAAAAGATAGCAAAGAAACAGAACAGAACACCAAAAAGAAGAGTGCATTAGTTCGAAATAACATCTACCAAAATGAGATAATAAAGATTAGAGGCAGCACCATAAAATGACAGCGGGAGTCACCAATCTTTATACTCCCACTTCTAGAGTCTGAACCAAATGCAAGAGGATCATTTACTGGAGAATAGTTTCGTATCTTTCCAAGAACTGATTGAAGGAAAGCAATGAGGGTAACAAATAACAAGAAAGATTTGGATGGAAATGAATTGATAGGAAAATAGACTAGATGGAAAAATTGAAAAAGGAACATACAAAATTAGAAAATACTAAAGCATGTCATGCAGTGAAGTGAGGCATACCACATGCAACCTGCTAGCATGTTGCTGTATCAGGGGTTCTACATATGAGGACCCTGACTATGATATATATTCTAGGTGACATTCTCTCTAATTCGGGGACCTAGAACATCCACCCCCCAACCCCCAAAAAGGGAATTTAAAAATAAAGTAATTAAAATATTTCCCTGATTTCATTTAACACATCCTTAAACCACGATTTACTATTAAATTTGGGTTAGATACTTCACATTCCCAATGCAAACATCAATGGCTGAATTATTACCAGGCATCTTTATCATTTTGGTACAGGAATCATATTCAAAATTCAATCCCCAAGTAGATAAACTCAAGTGCGCACCTCTTCCTCTTCTTCTTTATCTCCTTCCTTTTTCACAGGAGACTCGGCATCTTGTGGAGCTAGGGGCAAAGGTCTAGGAAGAGACCTAACACCATCCATGTATTGCGACTGCCAAGAAAATGTAAAGCAAATAAACATAAAAATGAGCAAATGTCATCTAAAACTAGAATGTATTTATTGCAAAATTTCAAACACCACATCAAGAAACTCATTCAGAACTATAGTTGCATCATTTTTGCCAAGAAAATTAGTTTAATAATACACAAATGAAGACAAGAGAAGAATCAGAGCTAGAGTAGCAAGAGACAATCATGACCTGATACTGATTTTAAACTTTCACTTTCACCAAACGTCCTCCTCTACCTCTACAATTCATGAGCCTATCTTTTCCTCAAAAAATTATTAAATGAAAAAATTAAAAGAGAAAGGAAAAGGAGCAAAAACGACTATTAGCCCTAGTTAGGAAATTCAATTAATTCTTGGTCAGTCTCATGTGATGCTGACATCAATGAGGAATAATTACCTACCTCTTTAAAAAAAGAACCTGAATGACTTTTGGACTACTAGGATCAGTATGAGTACTGAAGAGAATTGAGAGCACCACAATCAGAACTGGCTTTGAAACATTTAGAACAAGCCAAATTCAGGAAAGTGTGTCGTAAAGGAACTTGGGTTGGGCTGGGTGGGGGGATGGGATATAACATTTGTACTCAAAACCCAGATATATACACATCTTTAGGGTATTGTAATTTCGACTTAAAAATTTTTTATATCAACTATGGACTATCTGAAAAGCAGTAAGTTACGATCATTCAAATCTAAACAAAATAGAATTACTGGAGGCACATATGTCAGGGATTGACAATTGCGAGTATGCTTAAAGAACAAGCAAAGTAATAAGCATATGTGGAACTGAACAAGGCTGTAAAAGGGCTGCGCTTATCGTTTTCACTTGCTAGTTCTATACGCATCTATTTAACAACTGCCACCTAATAACCCACCCAGTCAGTGGAACTGAACATTTATCAGTTGAGACAATTATACATATACCAACAACAGTTAACATAGGCCAAAAACCTCAGAAATGCAGTGACTGATAAAGATAGTTCATAATGCCATAGAATAATAACTAAGGTTGAGAAAGATGATTGGAGTTTCTGGAACCATGAAACTACACTGAATGAAGCCCAATATTCGCAGATTAATAAGTTGAAAAGAAGACATACATCATTCTTCTCTTTTTTCAAGACCAACCTCAAGGAAAAACTGTCTCTTTATGCAAGATTGTACTGATCAAAAACAAGAGAGACATGCTTATAAATGCAAATAATGCTACAGAAACAGATCAAATTTTTAAAAGCCGAAGCTGCATTTCTAGAGGACATGGTTCACAATTCTTATTCACCAACTCAAATTGCATCTAAATAGGTCATGTTAGTTGCAAAAAGGACAAGCAGCTAGTTACTGAGCTTCTACAAGTCAGAAGCCTTAAGTCACTCAACATACTGTGGAAAAGAATTAATATTTCAAAGAGAAGGCACTTGTGACTTGTGCAATGCATAACAATTCATTTTGAGCAAACCTGAGTTTCATCGGGAAGACCATTCCTCAACCATGAGCGAGAAAGGGCATAGAGAGAAGCATTATCAGATATTCTGACCTACATCAGAAAATAAAGCATCCATCATGCAGTAAAAACATGTTTCTACAGAAAATATCAGGCATGGTCATGGAATGTAAATAAAGCGCCTACACCAAATCATAGAATTGCATAATGTCTTCAAGATTCACAGACGTCTTAGCTGTGCTGTTCCTTTTTGTTTTTCTTTAAATTTTGGTGGGAGTAATTACCCTCATGTTAGCTCCTTTAAGCCAAAACAACATCAGCAGATATAGAACCTTCCTTTTTTAAATAGCTTTAAGCTATATGCAATACTGCAGATGAGAGGTGAATTTCAGGAGATATGCACAGCAGTAGCTACTGAGCAAACAAAAGGGAAGCGGGCTCACTTGAAATTAAACCTGTCAAACGGGCCGGGTTGGCCCGGTTCCGGACTGGAGTAAGGGGGCGGGCAGGGCTGGGTTTGGATGTGAACCGGCCTGTGCCGGGGAAATTTCACTACCAGGTAACCAGACCGGTCCAACCCGGTAAGGTCTTGTCAATCTTGAACCGGTTAACCGGATCGGCCCAGACTGGTTCAACGGCTAGTTCAATTTTTTCTTTTTTTAAATACTCTTGACCGTTGGCAACGGTCAGCTGCCATTTTGACCGTTGCCCAACGGCTAATTTGCAAGAATAGCCCTTTTTGGGCATTTTTTTCAAAAATAACACTTTTATTATTTACTAATTTAGCCCTTTGAGAAACTATAAATAGACCCCCCCCCCCCCCCCCTTCTTCATTTCTTCACCCATCTCTCAATTCTCAAACATAAATTCTCAATTCAAGATAAATCATGCTATGTACTTCTAGAGTGCACTCACATGTTTGGGAACACTTTGAGGTGGTAGAAGAAATTAAAGAAGTTTGCAAAGTAGAGTGCAATAACTGTAGTCGAGTCTTTAATGTTCGTCGAAAGTGGGATGGCACAGGCGGTTTAAGGAGGCATATCAAGGGTTGTCTTGAACGTCCTCCGGGAATTCGTATTTAAGTTGATTTGAGACAATTTGTGTTATTTTGAATTTATTAGACTTATTTAACCGTAATGTGTTAGCTTATTAGACAGGTTAATTTGAAGTATTATTATGCAAGTTTAAATTAAAAAAAGAACTTGCAAATTATAAGTTATATTTTTTTCATGTTCATTGTATTATCTTAAATTCGTAATGAATGTTTCAAATATAAGGCTTTTAAAGCCTTTGAAATTTATTCAAACATTCTTTTCTATGTTAGTTTTTAGTGTTTTACATTTTTACTTTATTTTAACATAAATTACGATTGTTATACCAAAAAAAAAAAGGCCCGGCCAGCCCATTAGGCCCGGAACCATTCCGATTCAATTTAGCACAGGCTAAGCCCGGAACCGGTAAATTGTAACTGGTAATCGGACATGTACCGAAATCGGCCGGTTCCCTTTTCCTCTAGCCCAGTCCGGCCCGACCCCTTAACACCCATACTTGAAATCAGTGTTTTGAATAGCATGAGGCAACAAATAGCGATGAGGGCCCGCTTCACTGAGGCGAGAGGTGAGAGGCGAAGCTCTCGCCTTTTTGATGTGAAGCGACAATTTATATACAAAGATAAAATATTAAATTTGCATATATATATATATATATATATATATATATAATAAAACTAAAACTACATAGACAATAATATATTATAATATATCAATTCAAAATTATATACAATTAAACTACATATTGAAGCTTC